AGATGAGCCCACATCATCTTTATATATTTATATGCATGGCTTATGTGATTGTTATGGTTTATGTAGCTTCTATGGCTAATAAGGATTATGTGATTATGTGGATTATGTGGGTATGCTCTAGGGAACTCACTAAGCTTCATGCTTACAGTTTTGTTTATGGTTTCATGTATCATTGTTTTGGAAAGGAAGGGCTCGGCTTGATCGCAACACACACACACACACCCATGTTTTCCGCATTATGTGATTTTGGGATGAACTCTAATAAACGTTTTTAATTAGCAATGTTTTGGAATACTTGGATTTAAAGATATATGTGTTTTGACTATAATAAAAATGAAATTTTTACCCGTGATTTTTGGGACGTTACACTTAACTCTCCCTAATCTTCTCGTTACCCAACGTATTATATTCATGAAAATACATATACGATATACGTCATATAAAATTTATCTTTATAATATTTCATCTATCACATAACGTCTTTGCACATAAGCACATATAACATTCAATTATCTAAATATTTTATATCTATGTGTAAGATGAAAGTAACTATGCACTCACATGTTAAAGTGGATGGCTGAAAATTCTGGCAGCGCTTCGCTTTAATACTTAGCTTTTATTTCGATGTGACGTATGTTCATTTCATTAAGTCTTAGTCTTATATTCCCGGTGACTAATGATAGTCTAGGTTCCTCACTAATCCTAATGTCTACATCAAGATATATCAAGTAAGAAACAACCAGGTAGGATGATATTGGAGGTAGGGTCTGTTTGATATATAAGATATACTGTTTAGAAATCTCACTTTAAACACCTCACTAAATCTAGCCTAGACATCATCCTTATAAGTAAATCCATCAGTATAATGACTTTGGTATTACTAATAAATCTTAATTATAGATTCATAACAACAACTATGATTATAATTAAAAGTTACACTTGAATAAAATAAGTGTAGCTTAACTTAGATAGTATTCAAATGAAAACTGGGAATTATGTAGGAAGAATCTCGATCTGAAAGCTTTATATGTCAAACGCTCCAGGGCCTCGCTAAAGTGGTTGGAAACTAGAAGGTATTGGGACTAGAGGGTGGAAGGTATTCCAGAGGATTTGAGAGGAAATGGTGTGAGGAGAATGTTGAAATCGCAGGTATATATAGGGGAAATTTTGCCTGTGCGTCGCACGCTTGGCCGGTGCGTGCCTCACACTTGGTAGGAGCGGGTGACGTAGCTTCAGTTGCTGCTCGACACATGGCATATAATGGGTGGAATGTTAGTGCGCGACACATGCCCTATACACGCGCTCAAACGCATGCTCAAATTTTCAATTTCTTCAATAATTGATATCTTCTTAATATGAGCTCAATTTTTGACGTTTTTTATATTTACGCGTGGCTACCAATGAGATATACACCCTTCATTTAGACTTTAATTTTCACTTTATTTTTAAAGGTATACTTTTAACAGACTTAGATTGTTAAAGTCTGTATAAAATCATAACTTTCTTATATGATATCGTTTCTCGATTGTCTTTATATCGATGTACAGTTAATGACGAGATCTTCAACTATCGTTTAAATTTTTTTTCCTAACAATCAACTGATTTTAATTTTGGTTTCTGTGTCGGAGACTGTTGCGCTAAAACTTTTAAAAATCTTAACTTTCTCTCACAAAGACTTATTTAGACATTCTTTATATGCACATTCTGGTTTTATAATTACTATAACTTTCCTTTAGATTACTTAGGCTAATGAGAAATCTATCTAAAATTTCACTTTTTTACAATACGTATAGCCATATCGGTTTAATCCAAAACTTCGAAGAAACATAAATTCTTCATACAAAATCAAAATTTTGAATTCTATATATGTACGAAATCATTGTCAAATATATTGTTACTTTACTTAAGATTATTTATCATAAATAATCTTATATCAAAAAGTCGTTTTATTTTTATTGTATATTAATTCTATAGCATAAATAATCCGTAGGCGTTATAAATCAACAATAATTCTACCTCTTCTTACATGCATTGATGGTAACCCTCTTTATGCATTGATGGTAACCCTCTTTAGGAGATGCTCATACCACCTTAATCGTCATTCCTTTAATTTTTAGGGGATTCATGCCACTCCCAATGAATTTCTTATAGTCTTGTTCAATATCCTATCCCGTAAAGTCTTACGTAAAAGTCCACATCAACATCTTTTTTTTCTGTAACCTATGTAAAAGTTTCATCTTTGATGTCAACTGAACATTCCTATCACAAAAGACTCATGTAACTATCTTTCGCTTTAATCAACCTGTTTTTTATAGGATGGATTACATTTACCTTCACACCTATCCCTTATGGATCATGCATCCAAATACTTGAAGCTCTCATTCGGTATAAGAAATTGTTTCTGTATACTTGTATAGGGATAAATTCAATGCGGAAGCGAAACCTTTTACTTTCTATTTTCATTTGATTTTATATTATTATTCTTATTTTTGTTAAAAAAAAAAAAATACAGAAGCAATCTACCACGACGCTGTCGGGATGTCGACCACCTTACCTCCCTCTTACTATATTTGTATGTGAGTGAGGTGATGTTGTTTTTCTATACTTACATCTGCTTTTTCATCATTAGCCTCTCACACCAAAATTACACCAAAGATACTATATTTAAACCGTGTTGAATTGTTGATCACTAAAATTAGACCAAAGATTACCATTAAGCAACAAACCTATAAAATAAAGTTAAAGTTTGTACGATTTGAATATTATACACACTCTATTTTGGAATTTAAATATCAAAGTTATCACAATTAGACTATCTCGGTGATGTTAAGTTACCCAAATAATTGGTCAAAGTTAGAAAATAAAAATACAATCATATATACAAATAAATTGTGTAAAAAATTGAATTTTTTAACTTTTGACAAACCGATCTTTAGTTTTTAATTAAAAGATAATTAAAACTAAATAGAAAATAAAGTATATACTATATTTAAACACTTTATGAAGATTAAAATAAGAGCATAATTTTGAATCATTAAACATCCAAAATAAGTGTTTTAAAAGAGGTTCCATCTAAATAGCTCATGAAAATTGAAAAAATCAAACACAATTTTATTTAATAGGAAATTGTTAATTAATAAAATTTTTAAATGAGTTTTGTGAGTCTAGTGTGTTTTCAAATAAATGTGATGAAAAATAACATAAACACGATATTTGTCTCGAATTCAATACGAAATAAACGAGTTTGAGAAAAATATTTCAATCCGTTTAATTAAACGAGTTGATAGAACATGATACAAATCTAACGGGTATTATTAGGGTTGAAAATTTCAACTTAAATATAACCTATTAATTAATAAGTAAGTTTTTTTTTTTTTGAATTTTTTAAAATAAACTAGTATTATCCAAAACAAAAATCAATCATAAAAGAAAACACTTGTGTTTATTGTAATGTGGAATCGATTTTGCCGTATATGTTAAAAATTATTTTTTTTAGTTCTCTCAAACTATACAAACTCTAGACCAATCCTTCTTCCTCATGATTTCTCCTCTACCTCCAAACTCATATTCTTTCCATTTTGCCCTCTAAACACGGAGGGTGTTTGGTAAAAAAAGATTATTGTTTGTTTACTTACTAGGTGTGAAACCTATGTATTACATGAGTTTAATTAAAAAAAATAAATATAAAATTTTAACAAAAAGTTTGAATTTATAAGAAAAATAAAAAAAAAATTGAATTATTAAAATTAATGAGATTGTAATGTATTGAATACATTACATATATAAACTTTTTCTAATAAATATTTTACATATATATTAATTTACACATTAAATGTGTAATTTTAATTTAATAAAATGAAAAATACAATAAAATGACTAAAATGACAAGTGGAAAATAGAAATTTTAAAAATTTTAGAAAAATATCATGTATCCAAATGAATGAGAACATGACATGTGGTAAAAAAAACCTTTATTTATTATACTAGATTAGCTTATGAACTAATAAGTTAGAATGAATTAACTTATGAAAAAAATAACTTATTAGCGGTTTGCCGCTGCTGTAAGATTTTTTTTTTTCAAAAACATTTTTAGCTTATAGCGGTGTATAACTGGTAATAAGCTTAATATGCTCATTTGCCAAACACCCCATAATATAAATTTCAGCACCCAACTGTTAATTTTTCCTTTTTTGTTTGTCCAACTCATACCCTTTAACATGTTAATTGTTTCCACATCACATGCCACAACATATTTCAATGTATACCGTTAACCCAAAACCCGACAGAATTCGACATAAAAATAAATGAATTAGCACAACACGATACATTAACTAACCAATTCATATTAGGATCAAGCTCTCCCAATTCGTTTATTATTTTTAACAAAACAAAAACCAAACATAACATGTTTCCAAAGTCTATTTTCAACCAACTATAAATAAACAATTTTGATAAAAATAACAAATTAAAAAGCTCTTCTATTTTGAAGATAAAAAATAAACCTTTTCATTAAAAAGCTTCAAAAATATATTTATATCGATGATACTCTTATTAGTTGGCACGCATAAAATTTATTCAAAATTGTAGGTTTCCCGTTTCAGAATGGTAACAAAATCAAAGGGACTCGGCTTCGACAATTTCAAATTGGTCCACCGTTTAGATCATTCTCAAATAAGCCAAACTGTATCGTTTTAATCAGGTCTACTCGATTTGGACATGCCTACCTTTTAATAAATAAATAAACAAATAATACTCCTAATTTTCAAACATGTAATCCAAAAAATATTTATTTTTTAGATTAAAGTGAGTGGTAACTTGTACTTTGTAGCAACGAAATTTGTACATTGTGAGAAGAACTTGCTAAAAGTAAAAATGTTTTCCCTTTCCTTCACGCGACACATGTGTAGATGTGTAGTTGTGTACTCTCTCAAAAATCAAAATCATTTACAAAAATTAAAAAAAAAAAAAAAAAAAAGTAAAAAAGAAAGAAAGAAATAAATCTCCCTAAAAGAAAGAGTACACACATTCAGATCTGGATCCCATCAACTTCGCCTTCGTTAATCTCAACCGTTGGATCATTATCAACCACGTCATCATCGCCGTTCATGTTATCTTCTTCTTCTTCATCCACGTCATCAATGGCATGACCCACCCACTCCTCCATGGGTGCGCACTCCACCTTATGGTGCACCCTCCAGTCATGCGCTTGACATCCACGCGAACAATAGTTCACTTTCCCACAACCGGAACATCTTCGAAACTCGTTTTTTCGGGTCTCGGGTCGCCCGCAACCCTTGTAGGAGCATATCCGTATACCCAAACCCGGAAACCTGTCTTCTCTCGACCCGAACCACTCAACCAGGAACCGGTTTGCTGGGTGCAATTCTCGACCGGTTAGGTTGAACCCGTAGTCACTAAACAACTGGATGTCGAAATCGGACGGATTCGTAGGAGGATTCGGAGCTCCGGTTTGATATGATGGAGGTGGAGTAGGACGTGGTTGTTGGTGGTTATGGAACTGCCACCCCGACGATGGCGGAGATGGTGAGTTGTTGAAGACGCGTAGGACAGATGCGAGTTCGCGCGCGTTGGCTTGCACGAGTAAACGACGGCCTTCGGTGATGTTCTTACGGACGCCGTAACCGTCTTGGAGGCAGTGGCCGAGTTCCCGGAGAGCGTCGATGTGGCCAAGGAAGGCTGCTCTAGCACACAGCGCAACTCCGGCGCGGAGGTCCTTGTCGTTCTTCAACCCTCCACTGCCGTTGAACTGAATCAGAGCTAGTGAGTACAGTGCCGGAGCGTGTGATTTAATCGCCGCCTTCGCCATCAACGACGCTCCACTTCCTCGATTTTGCAAGCAATAAAAGCGGATCTGCGGAAAATAAGCTTTAGAATTTAGATATATCGCCATATCGGCCATTGCTTTCTATAACAACCGACGTTACATTGAACTCAAACATTTTGTGTAATAGTAGCAATTAATGCTTACCATTCCAAGCATATAATATGCCTCCGTGTTGCCGGCGTTGACGCATAGTTTCAAAAACCGGTGAGCCTCCTCGCACCAGTTTTTAGCTCTTACAGCAAGCGCTTTCGAACACGATTTCGATACAACTAGAGGATGTAGGCCTAAATTATTCAACCGCTTACATCTGTAACATAATAAAACACAGATTTTCTTCAGCTTTCCATCGTCAAAACAAGATTATAACAGAAACAGGTATGAATTAAAACGCACGTAAGAAGAACAGCGACGAAATCAGACGGAGAAGAGGCTGTAGAACTGAGCTTGTAGAGGATAGATATAACAATATCATCAGGTAACGCTTCAAACAGATCAGATCTTCTTCTAAAGGCTCCTCTTTGCTTCTTCATGAGCAATCTCTCTGTTTTCTTTCACTGGATGTTGTTGTTGCTTAATAATCTATGTAGATGTAGAGATTTGTGCAGAAAAAGTTTGATTAATTTATGAAGCATGAAGGCGTAGGGGTGTGCATCTCGAAACGGTTGATTCATCCGTTTATTGCCTGAGAGGTTAGAGAAAATCAAAAGTTAAAAGATGGAGGCACAAGAGCTTTTATAGTTGATGAGGTAAACTAATAAAGCTGCTATTGTTAAGGAGCCCACGTACTAATAAAATAAAAAGTAGAAGAATAAATGGAAAATATCAATCTTTTTTATTTTGTTTTTAATTAACTATTACAAACCTACTAAATTATAAGTTGAATTGTAATTAAAAAAGTTGATACAAAAAAGTATAAAGATGACGACTGACGAGATCAGAACATGGACTTGAATAATCAATGATAATTAGCTTTGTTGATCCGTTAACGCTAAAAATGAAACAAAATAATTATGTTTGCGTAATGCTAAACAAAATAATCATTATTTATGATAATATTGTAATGTAATTTGATATGTTGTGACTTATTCAAAACTAAAACAACTTTTTTCATATTATATACCAACTATTTTATTGGATCTAATAACCAAGTTAAGTATGAAAATTACGGATAATCACATTTATGATAAAATTGTATAGTTTTTAATAAGTTGATGAATTTTTTTATGATTATAAGAAAATATCATCCAGTTAGCAACTTGGATGGTTGGTAAATTTCAATGAATTTTGGGGTCGCCAAACAATTAAGAGGAGCACAAAATGTTTTTTTTTTTTTTTTCTCATGAAATATATATATATATATATATATATATATATATATATATATATATATATATTAAATGCAAATTGTACATATATTAGATGTATGATAAGTTTTAGACCATTAGATTATATTTATAAATGGATAGGTGTACTATAATTATAATGGAACACAAGACACATAAACATTCATTATTAATAAAAGAAAATTAAAATAATAATTATAATTTTTTTATTTATTCCAATAAGGAAATTTGGAGAATTAAAGAGAACATAATTATTTTATTCAAAAACAATCTTGTGTTATCAAAATCAACTTTAATTATCTGGATATTTAAGAAACGATGCTATATGAATCATATTGAAGAATCGAAGAATTCTTCCAATAAATAGAGAAGAAGGTCGATGACAGAATAACATGAAGAAGAATATGAGTATATTCTTAAAGAATGCGGGTTAATTTCAAAGAATCTTTTGAGAATTGAAGATTATTAAATAATATGATTGTATATATTCTCAATAATAACAATTTGCACCAAAAGTAAAATATTCTTAAAGAATACGCACATACATATTATACAATAACATATAAATTTTTTTAGGGTCAATTATTGAAATCGTCCTTATAGTTTGGTCAAAATTGCACGTTTGATCCTTAACTTTTTTTTTGCACTTGGATCGTCCCTGTGGTTTGATTTTATTGCGTTTTTCGTCCATATGGTTTGGTCAAAATTGCATGTTTGATCCCTAACTTTATGTATGTAAGAGGCGAAAAACACAACAAAATCAAACCATATGGACGATCCGAATGAAAAAAAAAAAGTTAATGACCAAATATGCAATTTTGACCAAATCACAGAGACGATTTCAATAATTTACTCATTTTTGTTATTATACCATGTGAACACATTCAAATCTGGTTTCCAGTTCAATCTTCATGTTTTTTTTTTAATTATTAAAGAATGCAACTTCGTACAAGATATATTATTAGAATTAATAGTCTTAAAGAATATGAATATATTTTATAATACACAAGAATATATACAAATTTTGACGAATATACACAACATTATATCCTACATTCTTTAAAAATTTGTTTGTAATATATATTAAATTCTTTGTTTAATATATAACACTAGGCGAATGCCTGCACATTACGTAGAATACAACAAATATATATTTAATGACGTTGTTGTTAGCTCTTATATAATAAATCTTATAATAAATTGATATAAACATTGTTTGTTTTGAATTATATGATAATGTAGACATCTTTTAAAATTCTATAGTCTTAATTGTTTTAATGACCTCTAACTGTAGGTTACTCATGAATAAAATTAAATAGAATATATGGTTTAATGATATTTATAGTTGTTGTTATGATTAATTAATTTTAAAAAGTTTATTTGCTTAAGATTTTTAATTTCTATCATTGTAATTATTAAAAAAAATCAAATATTGTTTTTGTTTCTAAAGACAATAATATAATTTTTGTGTATAATATTAAATTTAATTATTATTGTTGTAATTTATTTAAAATAAACTATTTGGAAACTTTTAATTATTTTATTTTGGTTTTAGAAATTTAACATTTTTAAAATTTATTTGATGAATATTATTAGTTTCTTTGATTGTATTTATTTAAAACAACAAATATTGTTTTTGTTTTTAAAGATAACATTATAAATTTTTATATAATTCTACTTTTAACGATTCTTACTATAAGTTAATTTTAAGCTACTTATTTGAAAATTCTTAATGATTATAAAAAATAGTTTCATTGTTTTTAATTTTTAATTTAGGATTATAATTTAGGTTTAACACTAAAATTTACACCTTTTAACTATTTATAAAGTGGTCTTTAGATTTTTTTCAATTTTAACTGAATTTTTTATTTAAGTTAACCATGTTAACATTATTTTAAAACTAATAATTTAACTAATTTGCATAAAATTATAAATTGTACAAAAGTTGTGACTTTAAAATGATAATTTCTCACATAATATAACATATTTAAACTAATAAGTTAATTATAATATATTACAAAATTAAAGTTATAATTTTATATATAGAAATAAAATATTATATTTTAATATTGTAGTTTAGTTAATTTATGATTTGTATTTAGTTTTTACATTAAGTTAACATTATTAACCAATTTATAATAATTATGAGAAAGAAATTGAAAAGTCATGGAGTTTCAAATGACATCGTTGAAGTCTTTACAAATATATGATTTTTTAAATATAACAATAACATCGTTGTTAAATTTGATATAATAATTTGTATATACTAAATTGATATAATATATTAATTATTTTGAATTGTATAATAATATATACATTTATCATACATTCATAATTTCAATCGTTTGAATGATTTCTACCCGCGAGTTACACATGAATAAAATTAAATATAATATATAATTTGATGTTATTTATAGTTGTTTTTATTGTTAATTAATTTTTTAAAATTTATTTGGTTAATGTTTTAATTTCTATAATTATAATTATTTAAAACATCAAATATTGTTTTTTATTTTAAAGCTAACAATATAATCATTTATATAGAGTTGTTTTTAACTATTGTTATTGTAAGTTATTTTAAGCTACTTATTTGGAAACTTTTAACGATTATAAAATATATTTAAAAAAAATTTAGTTAAATTGATATTACAATTTAGTTTTCGCTTTTATCACTACAATTTATCACTTTTAACTATTTACAAAATATTCTATAGTTTTTTTTTTAAATGAAACTGAAATTTATATTTGAGTTGATATTGTAATGCGCAGAAACATCTATATAGTTGAAGTCTTTACAAATATATATTTTTTAAAATATAACACTAACGTTGTTGTTAAATTTGATATAATAATTCATATATTAATTTGATATAATATATTGATTATTTTGAATTATATGATAATATATAAATCTATTATAATGTAATAATCTCAATCGTTTGAATAACTTCTACTCGCGAGTTACACATAAATAAAATTAAATATTATATATGGTTTAATATTATTTATAGTTGTTATTTTTAACTAATTTTTTAATTTATTTGCTTAATGTTTTAATTTATATCATTATAATTATTTAAAACATCAAATATTATTTTTTTTATTTTAAAGGTAACAATATAATCATTTATATAGAGTTATTTTTAACAATTGTTATTATAAATTATTTTAAGCTACTTATTTGAAATTTTTTAACGATTATATAAATATATTTAGGAAATATTTTAGTTAAACCGATATTACAATTTAGTTGTTGTATTTATCACTTTTAACTATTTACAAATTATTATTTGGTTTTTTTAGTGGAACTGAAATTTATATTTAAGTTGACACTGTAATGTTATATTTAAATTAATAATTTAAGTATTTTGTCCAAACTGTTCAAAAATTATAGTTTTAAACTGATAATGGTTTACATGCAACAACATTTTAAATCTAATAAATTAAGTATACTATGTTAAAATTTAAAGATATAACTTTATAAATAGAAGTAAGATATTATTTTAAAATTGAAATTTAGTCTATTTATGATTACACTTTAGGTTTGATATTTATTTAACCTTATTAACCAACTTATAATTATTATTAGAAAGACACTACAATTTATCACTTTTAACTATTTATAAAATAATCTTTGGGTTGTTTAAGTTAAATAAAGTTTATATTTAAGTTGAGCCTATAATATTATATTTTAATTAATAATTTAAGTATTTTATACAAATTGTTCAACAATTATACATTTAAAATGATAATGGTTTACATCCAATAATATATTAAAACTAATTAATTAAGTATAATATGTTAAAAGTTAAAAAAGATAATTTTATAAGTAAAATTAAAGATATTATTTTAATATTGAAGTTTAGTTTATATATGAATACACTTTAGATTTGATATTTATTTAACCTAATTACCAAAGTATAATTATTATTATAAAAAATTTAAAAGTCATGGGAGTTTCAAATGAATATAGTGAAAGGAAAAAAGAATGGGGGTTTCAAATGCATGAGATTCAAGAAAAAATGCTAGCTTTATAAGTATGTATGACTAGACGAATGCATGTGTGTTGCGTAGTAGAATAATTATGTAGTTTAATATGGTTATATATATTATGGTAAAATAAATAGTTAACATTCTTTTTAAGCATATGGTTAATTGAGAAGTTATGATTATAAAACAAATAAGATTCTAACATAATGCAATTAAAATATTATTACATTATAATTGATATGGTTTAATCTATTGTGAATAAGTTGTACATAAATGTTGTACACGATTAAATATTATTTATATTTACTCATAAATAATGCAAAATTATTTTTAGTATAAAATTGTAAATGTAATGTTTATGTACACATTAGTATCTAATGTAATTATTTGATAATTGGTTAAATATGGGT